ACTGACCTGGAACTCACTATGTAGCTCAGGCTGGTCTCGAACTCACAGTGATCCTCCTGCCTCAGCCTCCTGAGTGCTGGGATTACAGGCGTGCGCCACAACACCTGGCCCCAACTTTTTTTTTTAAATCAAAGATTAAAGTTAATTCTAACACAAGTATTTTTTTGTATTCACCTTCTTTCAGTATATTGCATATATGTTACTAACAGGATAAGTAGTTATTTTCTTTATGTCAGATAAGATTCCACTGATTATATCATAATTTGTTTATCCATTCCACTGTTGATGGGCACTGGGTTTATTCTACTTTTCTGGCCATTGCAAGTAAAACTGCTATAAGCATTATTACTTAAGGCTTTTGTTGACATACATTCCATTTCTTGAGTAAATACTTAGGAGTAAGACTGCTGGGTAAGTAAGACGAGAGGCATATGTTTGCCAAATATTTTTTTTCTTTCTTTCTTCCTTTTTTTTTTTTGTACCAGGGATCAAACTCAGGCCCTCGCTGGAACCACTGAGCCAAATCCCTGGCCCAGCCAAATCCCTTCAAAGAATGGACCATTTTACCCCATGCCAGCCATGTCTGAGAGATCTGGTGGCTCTCCATCTTCATCAACATTTAGCTACCAGGCTTTCAAATTTTAGTCGCTACAGAGGCCATATAGAGATTTCTTGGGTTTTAACGTATATTTCCTCCTGCTAACTAACAGTGTTAGTTAGCATTTTTCATGTACCACTGGTCACCACTTATGTATGCTCACTTGTGAAATACCTGCTAAAACCTTTAAGCTTGGGGTGGGGGATCACCTGAGTTGTTTTATTACTGAACTGTAGCATTTTTTTTTTCTTTTTTGTACTGGGGAATTGCACTTAGGACCTTGCGCTTGTGAGGCAGGTGCGGTGCCACTGAGCTAAATCCAAATCCCCAACCAACCCTGTAGAAGTTTTTTATTTTGTACACCAATCCTTTGTCAGATATATTTACCTTGTGATTATTTTCTCCTTGGCTTGCCTCTTTATTTTCTTTAGGGTTCCTTTTTTTCCTGAGACAGGGTCTCATTAATTCGCTAAGCTGCCCAAGCTGGGTTCAAACTTTCAATCCTCTGGCCTCAGCTTCCCTGAGTGAAGGGTTATCTTTTAATAGGCAAAAGTTTCAAATTTTGATGAAGTTTAAGTTGAGAATTTTACGTGTTTTTTTTTGTTTCTTATTCACGAAATCTGTTCCTACCCAAGCATCTAAAAGGTACAGTCCTAGATTTTCATTTAGAAAATTCATAATTTTATTTTTCACATTTAGGCTTATGGACCACCACAAATATGTTTACAGTACGAGGTGAGGATCAATGCCCCTAATTTTTCCATATGAATATCTAATTTTACTAACAGAATTTGTTTTTAAAAAGATTCTTTTAATTGGACTGTTTTTTTTGTTTTTTTTTTGGTATCAGGGATCAAACTCTGGTCTTTGTGGTTGTGAGGCAGATGGAAGAACCACTGAGCTAAATCCCTGGCCCTCACTGTTACCTCTGTCAAAAGGTGGCTCTACTCTGTTCCATTTGTCCATATCAATTCTTATACCTCATTATCCTAATATAAATTTGTAAATCTGGAAGTCCTCATTATGTTGTTTCATTTCATTGCAAAAATATAGCTGTAATACCCTTATTTGATAATTCTATCATCTGTCACTTGGGTGTCTTTTTGACTGATCTTTCTCATGGTTGAGTCAAATTTTCCTGCTCCTAGTAGTACTTTTTTTAATTGGATAACAAACATAAATGTTGAATTGAATGTTTAGATTTCACTGTCTTCCTTAAAGAGTGTGAGGTTGTGTTCTAGATTGTTTATAAATTTTTTGATGTTTTATTTTATTGGAGTTTGTCTTCTTTAAAGAATACAGGGCTAGGACTGGAGCCTTAGCTCAGTGGTAACCACTTGCCTTGCAAGTGCAAGGTCCTGAATTCAATCCCCGGTACCAAACAAAAAGAAAAACTAAAGAATACAGGGCTTTGTTCTGGCATATGAATTACTTGCATATAGCTTGATCTTTTGGAGTTTAGCAGGTCTATTACAAAGGGTTCTAGAACAGTTAGGAATATTTTATGTTAAGGTAATTTAGCTCTGCTGCTAAAGTATTAAACCTTTGTTGACTTCAGTATCAGTGAAGACACTTATCTCAGTTGGTCAAAACTTGAGGTGTACTCCAGCTCTCTGTGAGCTCTAAAAATTAGTCAGCTTATTGCTTCCTGGTAGTTTTCGGCCTAAACTAACATCCATACCTTGCACAAGTGTAATTTAGCATTCAACAAAGACTCAAGGGAATCCCTACACAGACTGCCAGTTTTTATCTATGTAGCTCCTTCCTCTGCAGAATGCTGCCTGGAAATTTTTTGCCACTTTCAGACACTGAACTGTGATTTCTGTCTTTTCAACCTAATGAGACTGTTCTCATCTGGTGCCACTATTTCAAAAGTGTCTTCAAGCAATAGGCCAGAGAGATCACAGAAATCAAATATATTATTTCCCATCTCTCAAGGATCATGGTCTTATGTTGCTGTTGTTTAGTGCTTGAAACATTATTTCATGAAGTCTATCTAGATATTTTAGTGTTTTAACACAGCAAAAAACTAAAACCAAGGCTGGGGATTTAGCTCAGTGGTGCTGCTGCCTGCCTTTTAAGAGTAAGGTCCTGAGTTTGATCTCCAGCACCAAAATAAAATAAAAATAAAATAAATCCAGGCCATCATGACTGAAAGAATTAGAACCTAACTTTTTACTCAATTTATCAGTTATTAGTCTAGTTCATAGCTATATACCATTTTTTTAAATGCATGAATAATATTTCAGAGAATGAAAACTTAAAAATCACTCTTAAATGTTTTAAATAACAAAAATATTTAAACTAGTAACCTTATATATATATATCTTCTTGGCCACATGGACAGATACTTCTGCATTTCTTTCTTCTTTTTTTTTTTGGAGACAGGGTCTCACTAGGTAGTTGAGGCTGACCTGGAACTCACTATGTAGCCCAAGCTGGTCTCAAACTCATAGTGATCGTCCTGCCTCACCCTCCTGAATGCTGGGATTACAGGCGTGCGCCACCATGCCCGGCAAGATACTTCTGCATTTCAATTTTCCTGTCTTTGGATAAGCTTCTGAGATGGCAGATTATGTTTACGTGTCTTTCCTCATTCCCTCTCCTCCTACCTCATACCATGACTGGATCCAAAATGTATAGAAATAGTTTTTAAGTATCGTTGAGTATAAAAATTAAATTCAAGGAAAATATTCTTAGTTATTCTTGCAATATTAATGGCAAATGCTTATCTTCTTACTTTTACAAAGGGTTTTAAACTATTTGACAAAGACTTAGATGAGTTATTCTCATTGTTCCTTATTTTATTAAATCTTGCCTTAAACATTTTTAAATTTTTTTATTTGGCAGTCCTAGAAATCAAGGGTGGGGCCTCCTGCATGCGAGAAAATACTCTACCACTGAGCTAAAGCTCCAGACTTAAATACTCCTATAGCTGTATATTCTCCCAAATCTGTTCTAACATAACAGAATTAGAAGCAAATAATAAAAAGCTATTCTCTTAATATACCACACTCTTTAAAATATGAAATGATATGTACATGTTCTTTAAAAAGGATTGGATTTTTAGTATTTATAATTTGGACTAAAAGTAGTTTAAAATATATTTTAATTTTGAAAAAATTTTTTCGTTTACAAACTCAAGAAAAATAATTCAACCAGTCTAACATGAAAGCATTTTAAACAATCACACATTATTTTATCTTTATTTTTAAAAAACTTTAGCTTATTGGGTCTTACAGTCTTTAAGAATTTAAATATGGATATCAAATTTCTATATTTAAGTATCTTGTTTAAAAAGTTGACAGCTACACACTTAGTAACTGATAAGCTTACACTCCACATGCCATCACTGAAAGCCCTTAAAGCATAACAACCCACTTTAAAATACTACCATCTCTCAGTATCATTGGGGGATTAATTCCAGGACACCTGGAGAATATTAAAATCCTTGGATGTTCAAGTCCCTTATATAAAGTGTAGTATTTGTATAACTTACAAATATCTTTTATATTTTAAATCATCTCTATATTACTTATCATCACTAATATATAACTGTTAAGGTGCATTATTTAGGGAATAATAACAAGGAAAAGTCTATACATGTCCAGTAGAGACACAATTTTTTTTCTGAATATTTTCAATCCAAAATTAGTGAAATCTGAGGAAGTTGAACTCATGGATACGGAATCCACAGAGACAGAAGGCCAAATGTACTCAATTACTCAAAGTAAAACAACTTACATTTTCTTCCACAGCCAAAGTCATTTAGTGTTTTTGTTGTTTCAAGACAGGAACTTGCTATGTGGCCCAGGCTGGACACAAACTCACAGTCCTTCAGCTTCCCAAGTGCTGGGATTACACACATGTGACACCACACCTAGATTTCATTCAGCTTTTAAATAGACCAACTCTGAAAACCGAAAAGAATTACTTTAAAAAGCTCTAACTTCTCACCTGATTGCAAGTATCAGATAATGAGTGTATAGCTTCTGAGAACATACTTGCTGAACCCGTATAAATCCATGCAAGAAATTTAAAGAAGCAGTTTAAACCATTGCTGTGAAAGAAAAAGAATAGCATGTTTGGACTAAAATTTTCCACCAAAAACTTATTTAATTGATTTTATATACTGCTATACTAAATTATATTAAAGGCAAATTAAAAAGAACTTAATAGTTCAGTCAATAAAAGTACAAATTTGAGGGGAAGTGGGAAGGGTAAGGGAAAGGAAAGAAGGGAAATGAAAAAATATGAGAAAACGAAAGTACAAATTTGGAAAATACAGATTATAATACTATGAAGTACTCAAATGAAGAAGCATGCTATATGCAAGCAAATTAGTTAAGTATACTTTGAGAAAGGGTAAGAAAAGAGGGGCTTCTACATTTGGATAAGATAATTTAAAAGGAAAATCTGAAATTTAAGTAGGTGAAAGAGAATATTGCCACTGTCCAGTACAGGACTGTCAAAGGCAGAATTCAGAGCACATCTGTTTGCTATGCCAGGCAGATGCCAGAGCTGAGAGCAAACCTAGACCAAAAAGGTTCTCTCAGAGAAAACTGTTTAGATCCAGTGCTGATCAGCATGACGGATCCCCGGTGCTATGCTGGTCACTTGCCATGTTACAATATAGCTCTCTTAACCAATATTAACACCCCTTCTACGGATAAGGAAACTATGCCTTACAGCTCCTCCTTTCCCTCCCCAACTGCAGTAACTGCAGTAATTTCTTAAAAAAAAATCTATTCTCAGTTTTCTTCACTCTGTACTAACTGCCATCCATTAAACAACACCTTCTGCCTTTAATACCCTATTAGACTTATTACTACCACCAACTATGCTTTGTTACTAAATTCTTGTAAACACTGGCAGGCATGGTGTCATAAGCCTGTAACTCCAACACACTGATAGGCTGAGTCAGGCGAAGGGCAACTTCAAGCTCAGACTGAGGAATTTAGTCAGACACCGTCTCAAACTAAAAATGGGGTGTAGGTCAGTGCAAAGACCCAACTCCCCCAAATGCGCTGGTCAGTGGTAGAGCCTATACATAGCATGTGAGAGGGCCTGTGTTCAAACTTGGAAAAATAAATAAATAAACAAATAAATATAAAAAGAGTAGGGCTGGGGATTTAGGTCAGTGCTGCTGCCACCTGCCTCGCAAGTGCAAGGACCCAAGTTTGATCCCTGTACAAAAATAAATAAATAAATAATAAAAAATAAAAATAAAAAGTTTTACCACTCCAATGAAAATAAGAGGATTTTTCAGGTAGCAACTTCAATATTAACTACATAAAAAATAGAGCACAAGGATAAGTGTCTGTATCCACTCAGACCCTTCCCCTATCACTTTACTGACAATAATACAGACTTTCCAACTGCCTCCTAGCACAATATAAGCCTTTTTTCTTTTTTGGGGGGGGTAACAGCAATTGAATTTGGGTCCTTGTGCTTGCAAGGTAGGTGGTGGAACCACTGAGCTAAATCCCTGGCCCCTATAAGCCTGCAATTCTGCAGCTATCAAATAGTAAATTTATATATTCAGATATGTATAACTAAACAACCTATTTCTATTTTTAAAAGGCTGTTTTTTAATACTTACATGCAAATGGCAACCATCACCACTTTTCCTGGTCCCTTGAAGAACACTGATGCTGTTCTGGAGCGTGGCTGCAAAAAGAAAACAAAAAAACCCTCTAAATTCACTCCCAGAAAAGCTCTGTAGTTGGTGCCTCTGACACACCAGAAATTTCTCCTCTATCAGAATCTCTGAATAAGTAGTCTTACTCTTTAATTCCTTGTCTCCAGAAGGTTCTTTAAAAAGTGAAGAGGGCCGGGGATTTAGCTCAGCGGTTCGGTGGCCTGCCTTGCAAGTGCAATGACCCAAGTTCAATCCCCGGTACCAAAAAAAAAATTAAATAAATAAATAAAAAATAAAAAAATAAAAAGTGAAGAGATTGAAATTGCAAATGAAGATGGTAACTTGTCTAGAACCTTGTTTATTTTGTTGCTTTGTAATTCATGTCCTGCTTACTTCCAAAAACAATCCAAGTTGTCTACAGAAAAACTCATAATAAACTAATAAAAATATATTGACCTGAAATCCACAGACGGTAAACATTTTCCTTTTCTTGAGTAACTTCTTTCTTTTAAAAAGGAACAGCCAGGGCCAGGGATTTAGCTCAGTGGTTCTGCCACCTGCCTCGCAAGCTCAAGGTCCTGAGTTTGATCCCCGATACCAAAAAGCAAAACAAAATAATAAAATAGAACAGCCGAACCCACCAAATTTATTGCTTCAACTTAACTCTTGAGGGTCCTCTCAAGACAGAAGACCTCAAATGAAAGTATTGTGTTTAACTGCAAAACAGACCAAAATAAAGGGAACACAGCAAGTAAAGAAACATTCAGGGGAAATATTTTCCTGAGCTAAATATTTTCCTAAACTAAATCTCCTTTTGTATATTTCTTATTTTTCGGATACTTTTTCCTCTCTTGGTATTCTATCAACTTCCACCACAATCTAAGTTTTTAATGGTTCTCTTCCATGTCTGACTTAGTGTCACTTTTCTATATAAAGCCTTCCCTGATCACCTACACAGAAATAAATACTCTGCTGTCAAATGATTCTGTCATGTCATTTATTCAGAAAATACTTACTATGAAACTACTGGTACAGTTCTAGATGCTACAGTATGACAGTAAGTCAGTCCCTGTCTTCAGAGATCTCATATTCTAGTCCAGTAGGACAGAATAAATCCACAGACAAATGCCTAACATCAGACAGTGATGAACATAATAAAATAAAAGAGCAGAGTATGAGAGAAAAATGAGAGAGAGGGGTAGTGGTGGGGATGGGAAGGGTTATTTCAGCTATTATAGTTATAGAAAGAAGTTCAATGATGAAAAGCAATCATTAAAAGATCTAGAAGAAAAATGTTTGAGGCAGAGTATGGAGCAAGTTCAAAGACTCTAAAACAGAAATAGGCTTGGTTTATACAAAGGGAAAAAATAAGGCTGATGTGGTTAAAGTAGGGAACAAGAGGGCTGGGGATATAGCTTAGTGGTGCCACTGCCTGCTTCGCAAGTGCAAGGTCCTGATTTTGATCCCCAATACCAAAAAAATCTCAGAACAAGAAAAATGACAGGAGAAGAATCTAGGAAGACTATAGAGAACAGACTATAGAGAACAGTTTAAATTTTATTCTGATGGCAAAAAGAAGACATTGGACAATTTTAAGGAGACCCTTGACATAAGTCTTATTTATGTAAAAAAGACAGTTTATGACATGGAGAGA